ATGCATTATGGTATAATAATGCACGGCTTATTGTTAAAATGCTTTCAGTCCTATCGGTACCCATGATTATATGCCAGTGCATTTGAACTCAAAACATGCAAAATAGTATTCTACAACAATACACTCCAAATATATATATGTACTTCCTAATTCTATAAGACAGATAATAATTATTCCTATACAACCCTTTCCTCCTAATAAAAATCATTTAAAGAATTTCCCCAATTTTGGCAAAACAACAATAACACAGATCCTTTTCAATGAAATTGCATTGTATATCAAAATATAAATGTACTTTATAAATATTATTCTTGTCAGAAAATCATTGCACTTTCCATATAATTATTTAATATCTATCTTGAAAAATGGCAGATCTACCGCAGAGCTCAGTAATATTTAAAATCAAAGTCATGATGTTTTTGTTTTGTTTTATGAACCCCCTGATAATACATGTCTGGGATAAATATATAATGATATATTACTGATCAATACATATACAAAACATTACCAAATAACATTTTTGTCTTAAAAGACAAGAGCCCCTAGCTGGCCCAAAGTGCTCATCTAAGTGCATAAACATGATTCAAAGAAGAAATTTTCTTGCTAAAAGCCAAAATAACAATTTTAGCTGTAATTTATCTGTTTATATCTCCAGAATCATTCCTGTCAAGTTTTATCAAAATCAGCCATGCAATCAGGCACAGACCCTGGTACATATTATTTCAATTTCTATCAATATCAGCAATCTAACTCAGCAGTCAAAACAAGTTTTAGCTCATATAGTACATTACCACAATACATTGATAATAAATAAGTGCATTCAAAATAAGTCCAGCAATTATGACTATGTCGTTAAACGATTATTCTCTGTTCAAATCAGGCAACCATCTTGATCAGTTCACCAGAATGATTGATAACCGTTATTGTACAATACTAGCCAAGGATATGACCTAGACCAGCCAAGGATATGACCTAGACCAGCCAAGGATATGACCTATACCAGCCGAGGATATGACCTATACCAGCAAAAGATATGACCTATACCAGTAAAGGATATGACCTATACCAGCCAAAGATATGATATATACCAGCCAAGGATATGACCTATACCAGCCAAAGATATGACCTATACCAGCCAAATAATATGACCTATACCAGCCAAGGATATGACCTATACCAGACAAGGATAATTATGACCTATACCAGACAAGGATATGACCTATACCAGACAAGGATATGACCTATACCAGACAAGGATATGACCTATACCAGACAAGGATAATTATGACCTATACCAGACAAGGATAATTATGACCTATACCAGACAAGGATATGACCTATACCAGACAAGGATATGACCTATACCAGACAAGGATATGACCTATACCAGACAAGGATAATTATGACCTATACCAGACAAGGATAATTATGACCTATACCAGACAAGGATATGACCTATACCAGACAAGGATAATTATGACCTATACCAGACAAGGATATGACCTATACCAGCCAAGGATAATTATGACCTATACCAGACAAGGATATGACCTATACCAGACAAGCATATGATCTATACCAGCCAAAGAAATGACCAAACCTAGCAAAGGAAATTACAAGGGCTGGGAATGAATAAGGAATTTGATGTTCAAATATTCGTTTTCCATATTCGAATATATTCGAATATTCGTTTTTACAACATTTGTTCCAATATTTCTCTTTGACGTATACGTTTCCGAAATTGATTGCGTCGAATACTATACTACTTTAATATGCTTGGAATAATCGACGATTAAAAATACACCTATATTACTACGTAAAAGTCTTTAATTTTATAAATTGTAAATCGACATAATTGTTTACTTTTGAAATAAATTCATAATTTGATTGCCTTTTGTTCAGTTAATCCGACTGTTGATCATCTGTCTTATTAATGGGAGGTAATTCGACAGTAATATGAATCATGGTAGCCACTTAGCCCCAAAAACACATAATTTATATTGAAACTGAACTTGAATATATTTTTTTTATTTATTTATAATTTTAGATAAGGTTTAAAATATTCTTCAGATAAATTTAGCTATAACGCAGTAAATATCACACCGCGTCTAATTTCACGGAATAAATATATTTTGACGGATTATAGACCCTGACCATGCTTTCATAAAGCACCGATTAATGCGTGTCGATTTTTTCGTTTTCACAAAATTTAAGACAATTACTGATTAATCAGAAAGATTATTGCACAGAAAAAATAAATAAGATAACTAAAATCGCAAAGAATTACATTATATTCTGTTAAACTGGTAAATTGCAAACTGTGAAACGGGTGCCCTTTTTATCAACTAGACCCCAAAGTTTTCACAGTTAATTGGCGATAATCGTTGACAAGCGTCATACAAACGTCAAGTAAAGGTCAATGGTTTAATTTACGATCTTAATTGAAATATGAAAGTAATAACAAAAAAAAAACATTCTTTTTTTTTGAATATTCGTATTTGTTTTTCAATGTTCGAATATTCGGTAGAGTTTTGAATATTCGAATATTCGAATACAATTACCGGCCCTAGAAATTACCTATACCAGCCAAGGATATGATCTAGACCATCCAAGGAAATGAGCTAACCAGCCAAGAATAAAACCTATACCAGCCAAGACCTTTAGTCAAGGGTAAATCCGGATACCAGATAAATTACTCAGTTTTCTCAGACATTCAATAAAGGTTATCAATATTTGTTTTCATGAAATTATATTGCTTTTATTTAAAAACAACCAATTCATGAAATATTACCAAAATGGATATGAAGTAACATACAAAGTGATGACTTAGTTCTCATCCTTTGTAAATGTAAACAGAATATAGTTTGAACACAGTAAATTTCAAACAAGATATAATTATGAAGAAACTTCAATCAAGCAGTTTAGAGTACAGTAATAAGGAATTCTGAACAACTACATGATTATTCATAATCATCTAAGTGCTAATACAGATTGAAAGTAGTTCTACCATGTTTTGTTAGATGTAAACAAAACATTGGGTGTAATCATTGTATAATGAGTAATTTCTGTATTTATTTGACATCCCATGGAAAAATTTTGCTTGAAAAATATGTCTGACAATCAGAATCAATATAAAGAATACCCAATGACATACAACTATAACCAAATCTGATGTTATCATCAACAGGTTAACCTTTTTACTTTTGTACTTACATATTAATAAACTTAATTTGCATGGACATTTACACAATATAATGGAAAAAACTAAGCCAACAAATCCCAGCAATTACTACTATTTGTTTACATGTTTTAAGTTTTGTAGCATAAGTTACAGAAGTTACAGTAACTAGAAGTATCACTAAATGTGATTGTCCAAATAGAGTTATGATTCTTGTGCACTGCACTTCATCTCACTGCTTTGACCATTGTATAAAGTTTCATTGAACTCCAACCATCAATTTTCAACTCCAACCATTAGTCTTCAAGTTATGGTCCGGACAAAAGAAAGCAATAGAAAACAAAGGGCAATAACTCTGTAATTACTTAAGATAGAGTTATGGTTCTTGTGCACTGCACTTCCCCTTATTGTGCTTGACAATTGTATGAAGTTGTTTTGAATTCCAACCAGTAGTTTTCAAGTTATGCTCCAGACAAGGAAAAGTAACAAAGGGCAATAACTCTATAATTAGTCAAGATGGAGTTATGGTTCTTGTGCACTGCACTTCCTCTCAATGTGCTTGACCATTGTATGAAGTTATATTGAATTCCAACCATTAGTCTTCAAGTTATGCTCCGGACAGGGAAAATGCAACGGACTGCTGGACCGATCGACCAACTGACCACCGGGTGACTCCTATATACACCCCAAAACTTTGTTTTGGGGGTATAAAGACAGCATCCATTCTGTGTATTCATGCTATTGGGTCCAAATATTGACAATTGTCATTGCTATTAAATCCAACACAATTATTTTTTTTCAAAATTATTTGCATGAACTTCTATTTTGTTTTAAATTCTGTCAAAAAAGTAGATCATATCACAATTGATAACAATAATTTCACAGATAAACAGTACAGTTTCTTGGGAGCCTTAACAATTCAATATGTACATGTATCAGGTCTTGCGGCTACAAGCACCTGTTACTTTCGATCACTATACCATTCTTGGGAGCCTTCTATTCTAATTTGATACTTTCTTGTAAAAAATTAGTACACTTGTTTAGACACTGTGAATTCCTATGTGTTATCATGATTTGTTCCTTTGTTAATGAGTTATTATACAAATGAAATGTAAATAACTGCTTCACCTTTTCTTACATTCTGACTCTATCAGTCAAAATGATTAAATACAGTTTTTCTTTCTTTACAAATTTTGAGTGACTTGTTAAACTATACACAGTTGAAGATCATACAGTGTTTCTGTAGCATTTTAAAGAGTTTGATAACTATATCTAATCAAATATTTTCATAAAATTTAGAAACAGTAAAATTATTTTGTTTAAATAATCTTATGGTTAATTCTTGAATGAGTTTTTCCTTACAAATATAAGTTGTACTGAATTACGGACTCATCCACAGTCATGGACTGTCCTTCAAAATTTTCAAACTGTATCAGACAGATCCGTTCACAAATCTGGTGAAATTTCGATACCTGACAAAATTAGCCGTTAATTATGCCATTTATTTTCATTTTTCGTCAAATCATATTTCAACTTCAATTTGTTATTGCGTTGTCATATTGATCATGTTAAAATGTTATTTCTGTAAAAGATTCACTAGTCAGACTTTACATTCAAAACAACAGTTGGATTGTTTCTAAAATATATATTCCAGTTTGATTCATTGATTTCTTTCTTTCTTAGTGTAGATAAATCAGGTAAGTGTTTGGAACACCAATTTACACTAAATTTATCCATTAATAATGTGAATTTCACACTTTTCATATGAAATGAATCACCTAAATTTCACATTTTCAATAAATAATTTTAATAAACAACTCACCAATGCAGATCATTAGGTAAGGTTTGACCTGTGGCTCCACCAAACACATACAGATGTCTATCAAATGCCACCATGGTGTGACCATACCGTTTTTCTGGTGGAGGTGGGGAACCCCGTAATATATGCTCGGTTGAGATTCTTGTCCATCTGTAAAATGTAAATGTTAAACAGAATGTATAAAAACATTTTACCTTTAGATACAAGAAAACTTTACTACCTAGACGGTCATCACATTAAGTAAACAATCTGAGATTTTGTAAGCTTCAGACTTTCGTAGGTGCATTCATTTTTGACTGAACTGATTTGTCATGGAGGTTTTGTAGCGTTAAAGCGTTTGCTCGAAACACCTGTTCATATTATCATGCTTTGCTCTTAACTTATTCAAATACAGACAGTAGACCTGCGTATTAGAGGTATCAAGTCTTTTCCTTTTTGTTCATGTATCTTAAAAATGTCAACAAATTTCATGTTCCACATAAATACTTTGGATTTGACAATTATATAAAACAATTTATCTAAAAATAACATATTTAACCTTTAGAAAAGCTGGAGACCACTTTAAATCAAACTTGAAAGTAACTTACAGGTTTTCTTTGAAATTAAATTGGAAGAGATTATTGGTTATTTTGGCACCACTTTGTCCAGAGAACACAAACATTGCATCACGAGCTACTGCCAGAGCGAAGTTACAGCAGGTTGGCGGAATATCTCCAGTCTGATCAACCTGGAAAAATAAACCATCCATTCATGCTAGATTACATTCATGTATATACCTGTAATGTATTCACCAATGTAAGTTATATATTGATCTAGCCAATCTCCTTGCATGGGATTTATCTTTATTTTTACATATTATGTTGGACATCTATTCATTGCCTTTTTACCATCTTTTCAGTTAATGTTATATACATTTTTTTTCAACAAATTACAATTATTGAAATTTTCAACTTATGCTTGACATTAATTTAACAAATCAAATATTCATATCAGAACATTTATCTTTCATGAATAAAATTCACTATTGAAATTAATTACAGGGCAATAACTGAACAAAATTAGTGCATACAGTAAATGCTCTGCCATTCTACTTATGGGCGTATTTCTAATTTCTTCTAAAATAAATCTTAGTCACTAACAAAAATCTCAAAGTCTGCAAAGAGTCAAGTAGCAACAAAAAAAGGGCCATAACTCCTGTACAAACTAGAAATGTGTCCATAGGACACGGGTGCCCCCACCGCGCCACTGTTCTGTCAATCTTATGACTCTAGGTCAAATATTTTTTGAAAACTAAAGATTGAATAAATACACAAGCAAACCCCAAGGTGCATAAGTACACATGCTGACCAACATTATTGTAAACTTTCAGGCCTACAAGTGAAATACCTTTTGAGCTATGCATGAACAAGTTGAAAATTGCAAATTTATACTACTGTAAGTCAAGGGCAATAACTCTAGCAAAACTGAAAAAAATCCACATGCAAATTCCCAGGTGCATAGCTTCACAGTGATGTGAATCATTATTCCTGTAATTTAATGATGTTGACCATTATTCCTGTAAAGTTCGTTGATTCTAACTCAAGCACTCAAGGAACAAATAACAACATAATGAAACGATTTTTACTAAGTCAAGGGAAATTACTCTACAAATACTGGATAAGTCCACAAGCAAAACCCCAGATGCAAAACTAAATATGCTTAGCAACTTTCCCGTAAGGTTTAATGACTCTAGGTCAAATCCTTTTTGAATTACATGCGACACAAGTTGAAAATTGCAAAATTTATAAGTCAAGGGCAATAACTCAAAAAATACTAAATAAATCCAGACGAAAATAACCGGTGCACAACTACACATGCAAATCAATATTCCTGTAAAGTTTCATGACTCTATGTCAAATACTTTTTGAGCTACATGCAACATAAGTTGAAAATTGCAAAATTTTACTAAGTCAAGGGCAATAACTCTAAAAATACTAAGTATATCCAGACGAAAATACCCAGGTGCACAACTACACATGCTGGTCAACATTCCTGTAAAGTTTCATGACTCTAGGTCAAATGCTTTTTGAGTTACATGGGACACAAGTTGAAAATTGCAAAATTTTACTAAGTCAAGGGCAATAACATGACTCTAGGTCAAATACTTTTTGAGTTTCGTGCGACACAAAAGAGAACGGAGGGACGGAAGGACGGACAGAATGATGGACGGATGGACGGACAAGGGTAAATCTAAATGCCCGCCACTAACGTGGGGGCACAAAAAGAGGATCCAAACACATATAGCAGTGGTACAAATGTTGTATGTACAAATTTGGAGAAAATACATCATGAACAGTGGAAGAATCTTTCACAATATACCATGTGTGGCAGATTGAGCAACCAACCAACCAATCCATCATACATCCATCCAACCAATCCACCACTCAATTAATTAACCAACTGACAATAGTTAGGGAACAACTATACAGGGAAATGTTTGGCTCCAGTATACTTCCTTCAAACTTCGTTTGCAGGGTTATTGAATTTTTTATTATACTTTGATATGGCCATGCTGATATTTGACTCTTTTTTTGCAAACTCTAGAGACATATTTAAGATTCTCAGGTTCTTTTTATCAGAAATTTGTTATATATTTTGATATATACAATCTAGCGTACCTCCTCCCAGGTCCTAACTTCAGCAGATCCTGTCAGGGGAATAGTCCACATGTCATTTAATCTGGCATTACCATCGTAACCCGCAAATATCCATAATTTGTTGTTATACACAGCAGCTCCATGAGCCGCCCTAGCAACCGGACGTCTGAAGAAAAGCATTAATATTCATTATTAACCCATCTTTTAATTTAAACCAATCAAAAACTTTACTCTATATAGTATAGCTATAGTTGTTGGGTAAATTTTACACATTAACTATATTAAGAATGAAATATGGTATTGTGCAAACTGTTATATATATATCACAGCTTACATTTATATAACAGTTAGATAAGTCATACCAGAGCAGATGATGTGGCATGGCCAAGTGGTGAACGGGTCAGACTAGTAATCTAAGGATTACTGGCTGCTTGGGTTCAAACCCCGTAAGGGGCAAATTGTTGTTTCCATCAGCAAAGAACCTTTACACTTTACAGGAACGATTCAAGAGTGTTTCAATAAGCTTATAGCTTCCAACACAATTGAACTAAAAAGAATTAATATAAACTAAAATTGGGTTCAATATGCCTTGTATTATCCTTTAGTTAAAAAGTCAAATATATGTTCCAGATCAAAATACTCCTATAATAAACCTATTATATTAAATAAACATAAATACTTTTTTTCTTTTTGGTTGGGTTTACCTTGCACCCAAACAGTACAAGTATGGCAACTTTCCAGCTTTACTGGTGAAGGAAGACCTCAGGTGCCCCTTTATGCATAAGTTCAGGCACAATCAGGCACTTGAGTAGAACCACTGACGTTCTGTTTGCAATAAACACTGACCTTCTGTTAGCTAGAAACGCTAATACAAAAGTAACAAGCAATTATCATAGTATTGCAAGCAATCCATAAGTCCCCTACCGGTTAGAACCCCATCAACATTCTGTAGGGCCATTGGCCATTCACTTATGTTTCAATTTTTCTCTATTTTAAGTAAATTTGTTGGAAAAGTTCTTTAAAAGTGATCACAGGAAACAGTTTTTATGAACAGACAGACTGAAGGACACGCTAAAGTTAATATTTGAAACATCCCTGTTACCAAAATATAACATTTTAAAAGCAGAATTCTTAAAGAGGAGATAACTCTTGAATTAAGATGCAATTTCATAAAAATTTTCAGCTCTTTTTGACTAATCACAAATATTGTTATATTTGCCATGTTTTAAGCCTATTTGTTGCCAAGGCAACTGATATTTTTTCAAAATAGGAAGAACAGATAAGACATGCATAATCTCAACACTGCTATCTACCCATATGTCAAGTTTCATAAAAATATTTCCAGTACTTTTTGAGTTATCACTGGATTCAGTTTATGTGTAAAATTTGCCATATTTTCAGTCTATGTGTTGCCATAGCAACCAGAATTTTCAACATAGGAAGAAAAGAAAAAGACGTGCATAATCTCAAGACTGCCATCTTCCAATATGTCAAGTTTCATAAAAATATTTCCAGTACTTTTTGCTTTATCACTGGATCCAGTTTATGTGTAAAATTTGCCATATTTTCAGCCTATTTGTTGTCATAGCAACCAGAATTTTCAACATAGGAAGAAAAGAAAAAGACGTGCATAATCTCCATACTGCCATCTATCCATATACCAAGTTTCATAAAAATATTTTCAGTACTTTTCAAGTTAACACGGGATCCAGTTTTGTGGACGGACGGACTGACGGACGGACGGACAGACGGAGGGTAAACCTAAAGTCCCCTCCGGTAAACCGGTAGGGGACTAACAAGATAAAAATAATATATGACATACCTTCCCTCAAATTTCCACTGTACCCACTGCCCTGTAGCAAACTTATACTCATATAGGTCATTCTTATTGGTCAGGTTAGAATTGGAGTGGATATCTCCTGTATACCCACCTGCAAACATATATAGATTGAATGATAAGACAAAGATAAATAGTAATAGATTAAGAACTTTTCAGCATCTATCCAGGTCACAGCATCTATCCAGGTCAAGTTTGTCATAGACAAAGGGTTTAGTTTAAACAATACTACAGTTCAGTATAATTAAATACATGCATTACCGAATAGATTCTTGAGAACACATGCCGCTGTTTCGCATTTTTTAATATGCATCACACACATTTTTTAATATGCATCACACAGGGTGAAATGTTTAGAAACAGCTTAATGCCATGATGACCCTGGTAGTTTTAAAAGTAAAACATTACTGTGAAGTAACATTGTGCTATTATGTGGAAAGCAAAGCATAACCAATAGGTTATTATATGATATGCAGATAAAAAAATGCTGAATTACTGAATGAGACATCAATTTTTATGCAAGAATAGTGCTTATAAAATGTATCTTTTTTGTGCACTAACATCTGCAGAAGCCTTCAGACTTATCAAGTCCCCATGGGGTTTGGGCTTTAAATGAATCCTTTTGCTTCTGCAGATATTTATCCACCAATAAATGTGCATTAACCGTCCACTGATGTACATAAAAGCAACAAATATTATATAATTGTTATACCAGTCAATAGGAATAAACATGTCTTCATTTACGATCTTAAACCCATTATGCCCAAAAATTTAAATTTTTTTTCTCAAAAAAATTTTTCTTTTAGGAGTTTTTAATTCCAAAAAAATTACCATTGGCCCTTACCACAACCCTCTTTTTTTTCTGTTTCTTTTTGGGGAAAATACAATTATAGTGAATTAGTAGTTACTGTAATTTGTATGGAAGTCAATATATTACATTGTTTAGATTTTGCTTCCTTTTTTCACAAAATCATATCTTGCACTACTTTTCTTCAAGTAACAAGCAATTGAATTATATAACATTATGTTTGCCTTGTCTAAAGAAGTAAAAAAAATATTCATTTCTGAGGCATATTGTGCATTTAAATTTACTTTTGAGAAGACAAATTTCATTAAAAATTGTGTGCCAATTCCCTTGTAACTTACCAAATACAAACATGCTACCCTCATGCACTACAGCAGAATGGTGGTATCTTGGTGCTGGTGGTAACCCTGTTGTAAATGCCCTAAAATAAAGAACAAAAATATTCATGCTCAATGTTAAATAACACACAATAAAATTCAACATTCTAAAATTGACAACTTTTTGTATTGCAAGGTCACTGGTCCAGGCATTTTATCCTTTAATTTGTTAGTGGTTACACAAAGATTAAATTTTTATCAATAACATGTTTCATATTTTCGTCCTCAATTCATAAAATTGCTGTCTATATATGAGCAAAAATGCCAAAAGTTATTTCTTATATTGATTTCTGTTCAGCAAAGCCCAAAAGTACTGTACATTTCACATTTTAATTTTATCAAAATAATACAATCTTTGAAAGGGGCTGACAGATATGTTAAATTCAAGCACATTACATGTACGTAACATTAAAAAAAAAACTTCAGAAAAAGATTATTAAATACTATTATGTTAAATCATCTGTATCATAATTAATTCTTTAAGCATAAGTGGCCAAAATGACTGCTAGTACAGAGCCAGTCCACCCTTAAAATCCTCTTAGAAGACTCTTTTAACATTGCAGGGTTTCCCTTTTTATCTGAGGCAACAGATGTGCCAATGAAAACAGCCCATTTGGCCAAAGTTTAACAGGGACATTTAAATCAACAGGCTGAAAATACAACCGATTTAAATGTCAATTCAACTGATGATATAGACCGCCAATCTGTTAATAATTGAAATCCTGCAGTGACTACTTGAACTAATATTTTAATATTTCCAGCCACCGATGTTGTCCAAGGACAGCTTAAAAATCAAAAACAGGCAAAAACATGAATGAACTCGTTGATATAATGGTTAACAATTTTTTGCTTCACATAAGAATGACCTACCTTCCCCATGACTTGTCCTTCACATCAAATCTCAGCAAATCATTTAACATATTTTTTCTGTAACAAAAAAAGAATGATTTTTACAAAGTACTACAAATCATCTATAAGCAATTTAGTGCCACCAGTGTTGGTAGTTTTCAATCCGGATCACGGCAGTAAACCACATTGAATTTCCTAGAGCTCAGTTCAGACACCATCACAACTTACCATATAAATCCTCTATACTCCAAACAGTTACAGGAATATGAAATTTGCAGTTTTTCACTAAAAACTGAAACAAATTGTTGTTTTGCATCTAATTATCCACCAAACAAGCTTTCCTCACACAATTTATAGCAAGTACGGTAAAAATTGCTAATTACACCAAATTATCAGTTCATGTGTGCTTTATTTCGATATGTAATTAATGTATAAATCATAATGAGAGTCATAACTATATTAATACCTTTGTATTTTTCTTCTAAAAGGGAAGCCGTTAATTAATATTTTCATCATATTAATGATGTATCATAGTTATCATCATGCATTAAAAATGTTTTTTGTTTTAAAAAAAATGTGTTTCTTTTTACTCATTTAATTAAGTACATTTACCATGTGCATAAAACTATACAAGGTATACATTAAGTTAAGCTGGACTTCGTCAGCTGTTAAAGTGACTTATTCACTATTAAGACCAGTTCACTATTAAGACCACTTTGGGTCAGTCCCGTTAGTGGTCTTAATAGAGAGAATATACTGTAATCCCAACATGAATCAGAGATGACAGCCAATGATTATTAGACTCAATCACTGAGAACAAAGCTTACGGAACCTTGTTGGTTCTACTCAGGTGCCGGTTTGTGTCAGAAGTAATGCACGGAGGGGCACCTGAGGTCTTCCTACACCAGTAAAGCTGGAACGTCGCCATATGACCTATACTGTGTTGGTTGATGTAAAACTCAATCAAATAGACCGAGACCAATTGTCATGGAAAAATTATGCCCTGCTCAAGGATCAAACAAGCAACCCTTGTATTACTTTCCTCTATATCTGATGCTCTTGATATAATGCTATATTAAGCCAACTTACCCATTATCTCCGCCAAACACATAAACAGCCTCTTTGTATGCAACCACTGTATGTTTACTTCTCCTACAATGTAAACAATGACTTGTAATCTATATAATACATTATATCTTCCCATTTAACCCCCCCCCCCCCAGTAAGTTCCACCCCTAATCTGCTGGTAATAAGAAAACGCCTGCTTTGAATTTGCAAAAACTTATTCCAAGTTCAAGGGACTTCACAATCAAAATACACAAATAAAAATTGAGCTACTAACAGTATAGAGCCTGGCAAAAATGCACAGTCTTTCAGGCTGGCCTGCTTCTATACTAGTGGCAAAGGCTAATCACTTTTGGTTCAAGCCTTTTAAACTGATAGGGACATGTATTAACATGGTTACCATAACAAAATTGGGGATATTTAACAAATCAAAACATTCACCATTTTGCAGATGATTACATATTTGATTTATAAATGGTGCCATTTACAAAAAGTTACAAATGTACATGCATTTAAAATTAATCTTCACATTTTTCTTAGAAATATCAAAATAAAATGGAAAATTTCAAAAGTTTTGTCCATTATTTCAACCTCTTTCTTATGCAGAAAATATCAATATTTACATGTTTAGTAATTCTTCCATTACCTTCAAACCAATGTATGTACAAAATAACACATTGCAGAACATTTTCTATCACTTTCTAATCTTTGTTAATGGAAACGTAACTTTCTATCAACAGTTATCTATCTTCTTTGGTAACCCAGGCTATTTACCATATACATGTAGTATTAAATGTAGAATGATAAACAGCAGGAAAAATTCAGGCTAATTCTGTTATCTACAATACATTTTTGTGTGAAATATGTGCGTCAACAAATACGACGGAAAAAAAATTACCTTGCCCCAACAAATTCATCACACTCTGGCATGCATTTCCATCTATGTACTGTTTCAAATGGTCCAAAGTCGAGAGTAAGACATTCAGAACTCTCTGGCCAGTTGTGGTCAAATTCCATACCTCTAGACCGTGCTATTGCCATCCTTATAGTGAGACAACTTTCACTACTTATACATCAGTAACATCAGCAACGTCAAACTTTACAATCACACAACATTGTTATGCATATATCTGTAAATATAAAACATTCATACAATCAAAACTATGAATGATTGCATTAAAATTGTATTATGATAAAAGGATATAAGGCTATATCTTATGGAATATCTTTAGAAAATTTATTATAATCTGAATTATATTGTTTTCAAAACCTTATGGTCGATTCAAGAAAAAGATGTAACGAACCAGTAAAATGACTCTGTTATTTAACACACATGAAATATTGAACGTAAACAGAAAAAAATCATTACAAAATAAAGTTATCTGCTTTTTCAATTTTTTTCTTTTATTAAGGTTTTTACTGTTTAGCAATGACTTCAAGCATGTGTCCTTCACTCTTAAGTTAATATACTAACATAATTATAATGTTTTTCTTTCATACTATCATTTAGGAAGTGTTCTTTTTTTTCAAAATTCAAACAATAATTTTTACAACAAATACATAGCTTTATACAGTTTAACCTGAATATAATTTACTTGTATAAAGATCCTTTTTAAAATTTCTTTCTGTTAACTTTACATATAATTTTCATTATTATCTTTAATATTGACCTTCCAGTTGTATAATTATCCTTTGAAAAATTCATTTGCTCAAAATGTTAAGATTATATTCAATAACATATATTACGTTCTTTAACATGCCAAGTGTTTTTAAAAGCAGTGTTAGCATTCATACACATGACCTAAAAGTCTTCATTCGAAATAGTTCTGGCTTGTAAAACTTTATAAACCGCTTTTTAATATTATTGTTTTTCATATGATGCGGCATGTCATAGCAAATAAACAGGTACGCTGAAGCTCTCAAGCTACATCCGAAATACTTCGGGAATCGAACCCACGTGTTAAAAATAAAAAGCCTAACGCCCAATAGTTTCTATAAATATACGGTTTTGAGATATTTGCTTTTTGGGCAAAGCCAAGGTTTGGGACCGACATAAACTCCCTAGACAAGCTGAAACGCCCTATATATTGGGACTAACCCCTCCAAGTCAAATTTGATTGAGAAAAGAATTTTCAGCAAACGGGGTATTTTTCCAACTGTCGCAAAATGAAAAATGTAAAACAAACGCCTTTTAAAACTTAGGGAAACCCCCAAAAGAAAAATTGCTTTTAAAGAATTTTTGAACCTAACAAAAATTTCCCATTTTTGGGTTTTAAACAAATAGATGATTACAGGTAGGGAAAAAAAACAATAAAAGAATTTTCCCTTTTTCCCAGGGTTAGGTAGGGACACGTATTTTTCCGTTTCCCTTAACCTTTTTTCTGTAGCCGCATTAAAATTTAAATTAATGTGTTTTAAATAAGTCAAAAGGGGGTATTAAATTTTTAAAATTTGGGGCCCGCCCTTTAAAATAACATAAATTTTTCAAAAAATTTATCAAAAAATATTGTCAAAAAAAAAATACACATAAATTTTGGGTGAAGATAATTTTTTAATTAAATTTAAACAAAAAGCATTACACCCTTTTCCCAATTTAGACCCAACCCCCCTTTTAACAACTTAAAAAGGGTATATAATATATAACTGCAAAAAAACCGGGATTTTCAGAAAGTCACAAAAATTCGTAAATTTTAAAACTTTAAATTTAACTTTTTTTGGAAAAATAATTGAAACAAAGCCCATTGATTTTTTACATTTAAACCCCTTTTAAAAATGACATAAAACCCAACCCCAATTTTGTTTAAATTTAAAAAGGCCACCACCCCCTAAATAAGAATATTTTTGTAAAGGGCAGAACAAAATTAAACCCCATTTTCATTTTTTAAAAAGTTTTATGAATTTATGGGGAAACGGGGGTTCAAAAGATTTTTAAAAAATTCCCGTATATATAAACCGCAGATGCCCAAACCTACTGTGTGGAAAAACGGTAAAGGGTTGCCGAAATACAGGCATCTGAAAAAAATTTTAAACCGAAAATTTACGGGGGAAAAATTTAGTTTTAAACAAGGGAAATTTCCCGGGGTTTAAAAAAACGAAAAAGGGGTTTTAACTTAATCAAAGGGTTAAAACCCGGGTTTTCCCGGGCCTTCAAAATTTTTTCCGGGTTTCAAAACCGTAAAATACCCAAAAGACCTTTCGATTGGGGAAGGGTAATTTATTATATACTTGAAAATTTGGGAGGGGCCCTAGGCTTTTTAATTTAAATCCCCAACTTTTTTGGGTGTTAATTTCTTGACGAACTTTTAAAATCTCAACATTGGGGGGTTCAAATTCCCCGGGCGGGGCCAACAAAAATTTTAACAAATTAAGTTTTTCGGAAATGAACATTATTGAATAAAATATATAAAATAATTAGATCTAGATCTAATATTGAAAAAAAAATGTTAAGATGCAATTAATAATTTTAAGTAATTCATATTTTATGTTTATTCATTCAAGAGATTTAATAATAATACAGACATGCAGAGGGGGTCAAGAAATAAATATAGCTGTATGGTAATTCATATAAATTATATATATGCCTCTTCAATTAGATCTAGTTACATAAGTGAAATAAATGCATTTGTGAATTAGCGATCATTTATAAGAATTCCTAAGACCGTAAATGGTGGAGACCGTCTATTAATTAGTACTAGGGTATTTTCAGATCTAGTGTCTCTTATAAAAAAAAACTATTTGATAAGAACTCTATAATGACAGCTGTCAAAGTAGTGAACGAAGAAAAGAACTTTAATGGAAAAATAACAAATAGAGTAATTAACAAAGAAAAAAAGAAAGAAACATTAATATGCTAATGATAGTATTTTTGAAAGTAAGTTTGGTCTTATGAAGAGTTGTGGTAAACGCCCTATCACCGTGTAGACAGGCCGTCGAATACAGATGACTGGGTGAGTTTTGATTTGTCCCAGCAGGCACTCAACGTTGTTTCAATATGACAACCACGTTAATTGGAATATGGTCGTGACGTTGATTACGGTCGAAGTTCTACTTTTAATTTAATCATTATCTGAACTTGTATACCACTTTAAATATTGTGTGTAACTTTTTCCCTTTAAAAGAATTAATCCGTAAGGGTTTTTTTGCAGGAAAATTTTCTAGGCCAAATTTAAACCCCGGGAAACGGTTTTTACCTTTTCAAAAATTTTTTCCCACGCAATTCCGTTAGAAAAAAGACTGCCCGTCCAAAATTTTCTCGGGGTCTTTTTGACAATTCCCAATTACTGGACTAATCACTAAACATATTTTGGGTTACGCCTCAAAATAATTTAAAATTTCGATGTCGCAAGTCTTAAACTGGGGGTTGGGTTTTTAAAAAAAGGCCCCAAAAGGAATTTTTTTTGTATTTTGAAAAAAAAGATTTGTTTAAAAAATTTTAAATTTTAAATGTAAGGCTTTAATTCTGTACATACAAATTAAATGTTTTTTTCCCTCCCGGACACAACCCTTTTCCCCAAAAATTTTGGGAAACAGGGACAGAAAAGTCCCGTATGTGTTTTAAACCAAAAACGGGAAAATTTAATTTTAAAATGAAAAAACTTTAACCTTCAGCAATTAAAATTTTAAAACCCAGGGGCTTTATTAAGGGTCCCCTTTTCCCAAATCCACATTTAATTTTTTTTTTCAATTCCCAAAAAAAATTTTAAAAGGTTGGGAATAAAAATTTATGGGGTTTTTTTAAAAGCGTATTCCCAAAAACCCATTCAAAAATTTTAAAATTTTTTTTCGAAGATCTATGCGTAAACTCATTTTTTTTCCCTGTTGTTTTATATTTTCGGGGCTTTTAAAAAAGAAAAATTTCTTTTTGTCCTCTAAACTCGTGGGTCCCCCGTGGGGGACAAAAAAAACCAAAATAGCTGTATAGGAAAATTTAAAAACCTACAAAAAAGGTGTAAAAAAATTAAAATTTTTAGACTAAGTTAAAAACAACAATTGGGCCAAATTTAAAAGCCGCAGGGCATTGACCCACGTAGTTAAAAAGGTTGGTAGAAACGTCGCCCAAAAAAAAAATGAAAAACGGGGTTCAACGATCAAAACTCGCTCAAAAATGGGTTGCTTTTGAAGCGTTGATTTAAATGAACTCTCTAATGGGTTTGGCCTTTTTTGTGTTCCCAATGACACAGTTAGGGGATGGAAAAAAAAATTTTGAGGCTGGGTAAAATGAAATTTAAAAATGCACCAAAATCAGCGGCCCAAAATTCCCGCATCTTAACGAAAATTTTGTTTCCCAAAAAAAAGGGGATATTAAAGGGGTTCCAATTTTCAGTTCGGGGAATTTTCAAAGAAAGGTAAGGCCCTATTACAAAACAAAGGTTCAACTTTATTTTTTAAAGAAGCATTTTAAAGGGCCAAAAAAATTTCTGCTAAAAGGGGGCCACATTTTGTTGACCGATGAGCAAAAGAGGCAACGGATTAAGGTGGCCAAAAAGCTGCTTCAAATGTTTCCAAAATATGACAAAAAAACAGTTTGCCAATGTCGTCACAGGTGATGAAACTTGGGTTTATTATTTTGAGCCCGTCAGAAAAATCTGGACCACTAAACACAACAAACGCCCCAATAATGCCAAATGGTCTTTGAGTGCAAAGAAGGTTTTGTATGCAATTTTCTTCTCTGGTGAAGGAGTCGCAATAAAAGTGCCGGTGAAAAAGGGCAAAAGTATCACTGGGAAGTACTACAAAGACGTAGTACAAGAAAGTATCAAGGAGTTTCACTTCCTGTGCTGCAGTCTGAGTCTGACTCTTGCTCTGGTACAACTCCTATAGTCTGTTCCCTTCTGTCTGGCCTGGCTTTCGGCTTAGAAACCTGCTTTTTCACTCTGTGTTCTCACGTAAGTTACGATATAGACATCAGAGGAAGAAGGAGGTTTCTATGCTATGGGTCTTCCTCTTTTCCCTTGCCACTTCTTTCTTTCATTTGTAGATACTGGAATATCTTCATTGGGGATGCCTACTATGCCTGTAAGGTTCCTTCTCCCACTTGTCATCTAACTTGCCTTTAGGGGGTAAACGTTCCCTGATGAAGACTCTATCACCAACAATCTAATGTAGAGTGTCGAACCTTAGCATCCCTCTTCCCTTCAACTTGTCAACATAG